GGGGGGGGGGGGGGCCCCCCCCACAATTTCCCCACCGGGGGTTAAAGAGGGGGGGGTTTCTTCGACAGGGGAGAAGGGCTTTTTTTATTTTTTTGACCCCGTCCCCGCGAGAGTTTTTGGTTTCAAGGGGGGCACCCCTTGGGCGGGGGTCCCCAGGGAGACCCCTGGTTTTGGTGGCTCTGTTTGGGCCGTTTCCAATGGGGGGGGGGGGTTCCTAATCAAAAGTTTTGGGGGGGTCGTATTTCCGCAATTAGGGAGCAGGCCCACTTTGTTTCCGGGGGGGGGGGGGGTTTCCCCCCCCCCCCCCTTAGCATGTGGAGAAGCCTCTGTGGGGGGGGTCGGACCCCCCCCCTAGCATGTGGTGAAGCCTCTGGGGGGGGTCGGACGCCCCCCCCCAGCATGTGGTGTGGAGAGAAGCACGCGTGCACGCCCCCCCCCCCCTGGAAGCGATGTCCCGGATCCGATGTGCGCCTGCTCACGTCCGCGCGACGTCCGGACTCCGGAGGCTCTCTTTCGTAAAGATGTGAGGTTAACGCACTCCAAGTAAAGCTCTTTTGCAGCAACAAGAATTTTCAATGTACGTATGTACGTACTTTTAGCTGTACTGGGAGAAAATCTCTCTCTCTCAGTGTACGTATGTAGCATACTTACTGGGAGAAAAGCAAAAGGGAGAGGGGGTTGTGTTCTCTTACTAGACCCCTAAGGGCCCTACGCGCGGCGTGAGAGCTCGGAAGCAAGCTTTGCACGGCGATCGAGGATGGCGCGGTTTCGGGCTCATGCTAGCATCGGCTCATGCAAGGGTACAGTGGGTTGCGGGCATTAAGAAAGCGTGGCATTAAGAAACCACGCCGAGCGATTTCCGCAAAAATCTATCAGTAACCAGCCTCCGGCGGGGCCCCCCGCTACCATCCAAACCCGAGTACCGGTCTACTAATCATAGATAGAGGCTCAAGTGTGACATAAGTCCACACACATTCGACATACACATGCACAAAGCAAACTCTCACGACACACGGCAACCGGGTGGAGCGGCGGCGGCGGCGGCAGCAGCACGCGCGGGCGGACGGATTCGGACGGGGCGGAGCAGCAGCCGCCCAGGCGGCCGCTGCTCTGTCTGCCAGAGCGCGCCGTCTGCCTGCGCAGCTCGAGCGCGGTCAGGTGCAGGGAAGCGTGGCGGCGCGGGGAAGCGCGGCGCGGTGGTGGCGGCGGCGGCGGCAGCGGCACGCGCGGGCGGACGGATTCGGACTGGGCGGAGCAGCGACCGCCTGGGCGGCCGCTGCTCTGTCTGCCAGAGCGCGCCGTCTGTGCGCAGCTCGAGCGCGGTCAGGTGCACAGGGAAGCGTGGCGGCGCGGGGAAACGCGGCGGCTCGAGCGCGGTCAGGTGCACAGGGAAGCGTGGCGGCGCGGGGAAACGCGGCGGCGGTGGCGAGCAGGCGAGCGGCCCGCGCGCGGCGAGGCGGACAGGTGATCGGCAGGCGGGTGATGGGCCGGAGAGTGACCGCGCCCAGCGATCGGAGACGAGCCGATCGTCGCTCGGCCGCAGCTGACCTCGAAGGCGTGCGGAGCGCGACTGTCGGTGTCGGAGGGCGGCCGTCATGTGGCGAGGAGGGAGGACGACAAGTGCGCGTCGTACGGGTCGCTCTTCATCGGCCAGTCGAGCGGCACTCAAGTCGAGACCGAGCATGGGCGACGAAAAGCCGGTGGGGCCGGTGGGAGGTAGGACGAGATTCGTTTCGCGCTTTCAAAAGCGGCTTCGCGCGCAGCGCAACTTTGGGTTTGCCACGAAAAAGCGTCCCCAGCTGGAAATGGGGGTAACTGGGCGGCCAATTCACACCTCGCGGGACTACTTATGTTTTCGTAAACGTAGTTGTGGCCCCCCGCTACGTCGCACGAGTGCAACCGGGTAGCGGGGGGCTAAGAAACCACGGCGCGCCGCAGGCGCGGCTCCGAGAAAAGGCCAGACACGAGTGTGAACAGGAGCTCCGAGCTCAAAATTTCTCTTCGCCTGCGCGGCGCGTGCACTTGGCATTTTACAAGTCTGCGGTGTTTTGAGCGAGTGGATGGATGCGTGTGCGTCTTGAGTCGGTGGCAGACTGGCTGGCGGCATCGGATCCGGGACCGCAGCTCACCTCTTCCGCCGAGGGGGCCGGCTCTGACCTTTGACCTACCTTGGGAGCTAAGAAACCACGGCGTGGGGTGGGTGAGGGGTGTGGAAAGGCCTAGAAACGGCGGCCTGACGCGAAATCCTGTTTTCTTTTGCGAGTTAATGCGCGGTTGGGGGAGCCTGAAAAGGGAGCTCCCTCTCTCCCTACCCCGAGGACCTCTGCCCAAGCTGATGGTGCCCAGCCCAGAGGGCCCCAGGGGCTGTAGAGTCACACCTAGGAGAGGGGGTAGCTCATACCTTGTGGGCCGCACTGACCCTTCTCCCACGTGCCCTTGCCCGCCCCTGTGACCGCCTGACCGCTGTGGGCCTCTCCAGACCTCCTCTTGCCTATGGGAGTACCCCTCCCAGTCTACTTCCTAGGACCATAATGCGAGCTTTTTCTCAAGGGCTAGGATTCCTATAGTGCAGAGAGAAATGCGCATACCCACTTACTCGCATAATGTGGGTAAACGAAAAAAGTAGCGCGCAATTCGTCTACGTACGGCTTAGTGTGTGGTTGGGGTGGCCTCAGGCATCCCCAAGGGAGCCTCTGCGGTGCCACATAAGCAGCTGAGTGATTGTCGAGACTTTAAAGGATTCGTTTGAAGAAACGCAAACAAGACAAACGGTACCGTATGCTGAGCCCTGGCCTCGACACCTCGACACCAAACCTCGACACCAACTCGACACCAACTCGACACCTCGACACCCCATGCCAACTCGACCAACTCGACACCCCTCGACACCCCTCGACACCCCTCGACACCCCTCGACACCATCTAGGCTGAAACCATGCTCGACCGTGTCAAGGTGCCAAACTCGACACCTCGACACCCCTCGACACCCCTCGACACCGCTCGACACCCCTCGACACCGCTCGACACCGCTCGACACCGCTCGACACCTCTGATGATCCTAACACAGCAGAGATGTAGACCCATTGGAGTCAGAGTTAGAAATCAGGGTTGCAGCAGCAATCAAACTTGGCTGGCAGTACTTTCATCCCTGAGTTGCAGCCTCTCAAGTTCTAGCTCAAGTTGCAGCTCAGTTGCACCCCTGTTGATGCAGCAAACATGGCAGTACTCAGGTAGCCCTCAGGTGCTGCACAGCACCTTGTACAGTGGCAATGAATCCTCACACCAGTGAGCTTGTGCCATGAGTGCAGACCTGTGGTCCATTGCGCTTTGTGCACTGGCGACGCTCGGCTGCAACGGCGACGCTGCAGCGGCGGCGACGCTGCTGCGATGGGGTACTGGCAGCCCTTAGCTGCTGGACAGCACCTTGTGCAGTGGCAATGTCCACTGACTCATGGCACCAGCCTTGTGCCATGAGCGCTGTGGTCAGTTGCGCTTTGTGCGCCGCTGGCGCTGCAGGGGCGACGCTGCTGCAGCGGCGACGCTGCTGCGGTGCTGCGCCTGCACAGTACCTTTGTGCACAGTGGCAATGACTCCCGGCACTTGATGTCCTCAAATGTCCACAGAGAGTATACTGGTTGTGCTCAGGTTGTGCTACATCAACAGGGTGCAACTGAGGCTGCAACTAAGGGATGAAACAGCTTTGCAACTGCCCAAGTTTTGTTGATGGGCTGCAACTGCATCCTGCCACCTTGGACACCTCGACACCTTAGACGCAAAACCCCTTGACAACACTCGACACCTGCTCGACACCCTCGACACCCTCTACACCCTCGACACCCTCGACACCCCTCGACACCCCTCGACACGGTCAAGCATGGTTTCAGCCTCGACAGGCCTCAACAGGCCTCGACAGGCCTCGACAGGCCTCGACAGGCCTCGACAGGCCTCGACACCTCTATCCCTCGACAGCAGCTCGACAGCAGCTCGACACCCTCGACACCGGGCCTCGACACCTCGACACCAGGGCTCAGACCGTATGGTCACCAGTAAACGAAAATTCGACTTTGAGGGATCATATCTCAAAAGGCTGGGTGAGAGCATAGCATTATTGTTGCATATTATACCACATAAGGTCAAACTTGACCCCAGATGCATCAAGAACCCGATGCTCCGGCTCGACTGTGCCGGCACACTGCCTCCTCGCGCACGCTGCTCGCAGGCCGTTGCGGCCCGTGGTGCACCAGAGAGAGAGGTCGACGCGTTGCCCCCGCCGGCGACCCCGCGCGGCTCAGGCCAGCCAGAAGGTGTGTGGTGACGGCACCGTGGCAGGAGTGCGGAGAAGAGCTCGCCGAACGCGAGCAGCAGATGGCCAAAGTGTGCCAGCGCGAGAGCCTCGCGAGCGGGCGCAGAAGGAGCTCGCCGTGACACGATGCCGGGCGGTGGTGGTGCTCTGGCGACTGTGCACAGTGGGCAAAGTCAGGCTGCAACAGGGCAGCACGTTGGTAGTGCCCTGCTGCAGCCTGGCCTGACATGCACAGGGCGAACAGAGGCGGTACTATCGTCCGGCGCTCGTCACCGAATCTGGGCGAACTTCGACCGCCGCCACAGCTCACCACGAGCACGCAGCGACAAAATGTTGACTGTATGGAAGTCGAGGCTGGTCCATAGGAAGAGGCTGCCGTGCGAGCCGGCAGCAGGCTGGCTGGTCGTGGACTGCCGCGGCGACTTTTTTCGGTGTCTTTCTTGATAGTACCGAATACGGTACTTTCGTTTACCCACACACTCTGTACGCACCAGTCCAGGAAAGATTTTCTGCCCTAGTGGCGGGACACACCGGCGGCCTCGAGAATGCCGTCTCGGTCGCCTGGCTTGTCGGCAGCGTCCTCGCTCGTCGCCTCGCTCGACGTATCCGAGGCGACGAAGCAGCTCCGCAAAGAGAAGACGACGATAGTGCAATGCGCACGTGGCGCGCTCTACTACCTGCGCGACATCAAAGACAGCGAGGCGGTCTGCGAGCCGCTAGACGGTGGCGATGAAAGCACTCACACTCTGGCAAGCCTCTGGCAAGTGACAGGCTACGACAGCGATGAGGATGGGCTCGCGAGAGATCCACGGGTGACGAATATAAAGCGCCAGCGCACGTCGGCGGGCTCATCATGCTCCGCTCTCATACTCCAACCGTCGTCTGCGCTGACTGCAGCAATCGATAAGGAGCCCACTGCTGCCGAGCGGATGCTGCGCAAGGCGTTTCCGCTGGTGTCGCCGCACGGCACGGCCCATCTCGAGAAAGCGCTGCGCGAACTCGAGAAGTACGAGCTGGTCTGCCAGGGCGACGACTATGCCGACCCGGAGTGCCTCGCGACCAACTCCGAGGCGTTGCAGTACGCGCGCGCAAACGCCGTCGTCAAAGGCCTGACGTGGTCGATCAGCGCGTCCCTCGCGTCGCGCGGGCGGGGGCGCACCCTCGAGCGGCTCAAGGCCGAGCCGTTCCTGGGCGAGTCCAATGCGCGGAAGGTGCTCGACATCGTCGAGACCGGCACATGCGGGCGGACCCTCTCTCGCTTCCAGCGCGGCGAAGCGCCCCTGGACAGCAGCGGCAGCCGCCGCGTGCATGCGCACAGGAGCGAGCACGGAGCCACGAGGCGCATGACCGGCGCCCCGGCAAAGCTGGAGCTCGCCTCCGTGCTCTGCCTCAGCGCCATCCGTGCCGGGGAGCTCGTGGACGATACGCGCGACCCGATCCGATCCATCGCCGAGCTGCGCGCGCGCCCCGACAGGCTCGCCAGCCTCGGCGGCGGGGTCCGACTGCAGCACTCGCTGGCGGTGCACGAGGACTTGCAGGAGCCCGTGCCCGCCGACGACGCCATCGCGATGCTGAGGACGGTGCAGGAGGCCGTGCGCGCGCTCAGCATACCGCACGCGAACGGCTGGCACGCCGAGTTTGTGGGCGGCGGCCGCACGCGCGGGTTTGCAGGGCACGACGTCGACCTCCTCCTAAGCCACGCGGAGGAGATGGCGAGCTTCCTGGACGGCAACGGGCAGCCCGTCTTCGTGATCAACCTGCTGCTCGAGGAGCTGGTGCGGCGGGGGCGCGTGCTGCCCAAGACGGAGGCGTACCACAACAAGAAGACGGCGAGGTATCGCCACGAGACGCCGCGGCCGTACCTGAGTGACCTCCACATGGCCAATGAGACGAGCAAGGGCTACGAGAACCTGCACCACGACCACCACGACAAGTTCTTTGGCATCTGGCGCAGCGCGCGCACGAGCAAGCTGCACCGGATCGACATCGTCGTCTGCTCGCACCCCGAGGAGCTCCCGTTCGCGCGGCTCGGCTGGACGGGCACGCGTACGCTCAACCGGATGATGCGGCTGCGCGCCATCGAGCTTGGCCTCTACCTGGGAGCGCACTCCATCACCGCACGCGGTAGCCAGACGCCAGGGTCGACCACCACGCAGGTGGTCGTCGAGGCGCGGCCTGGGCGGACGCCCGTGACGGTCACGCTGCAGAAGCTGGAGCCCCTGCCATTCGAGTACGTGCGCTCGGAAGAGGCGATCCTCCGCGTGCTGGCGTGTGGCACCGACGATTTCATCAACCTCGTGGAGCCGACGAACCGCAACGCGTGACGTAAGCCCTGCGGCGGATATTTATAGAGATCTCGTCTCTTCCCACGGATTGTGGTGGCTCTCAACAAAAGAAAACCCGTGGCCGCGGCCGGCGGCGCGCGCTCTGGGGCCCCGCTATGTCACACTCGCATGCGGACGCGTCCACGCACAACCACGGCGCGGTGTCGGACGCGGGCGCCGCGTCGTCGGCCGACATGGCGGGCGGCATGGTGCCGACGCCTGCGGACCTGCTCATCATGGCGGTGCGGTCGGGGTCGAAGGAGATGAGCCAGGGCGTAATAGCGCAGCACCCTGAGGCGCTGCAGGGCCGCGACACTGAGGACGGCGCGACTGCCGTCCACTGGGCCTCGCTGCTGGGGCACGCGGAGCTGGTCGAGTGGCTGATCGAGCAGGGAGCGCCGCACGACTGGGCGGTTGAGTCGTCCGGGATGCAGCCCATCCACTGGGCGGCGACGCGGGGCCATACCGACGTGATCAAGGTGCTGCTCAAGCGGGGCGCCAACATCGACGCGCGCGACGTCAAGGTCGCCTCACTCTCTCCTCTCTCCTCTCTCCTCTCTCCTCCCACTCTCCCTCTGCTAGCTCCTTCATCTCTCTCCTCTCCCCCTCCTTCCTCCCCTCTCCAGTGCGCCTGCGCGGTGACGGATCGCGCTCCCCCGCGCAGGGCACGACGCCGCTCGTCATCGCCTCCCAGTACGACCACACCGTCCTCGTCTTCTTTCTCGTCCAGCAGCGCGCAGACATCAACCTGCTCGACGTCTACTCCGACTCGGCGCTCCACTGGGCCGCGTACAAGAACAACCAGCAGACCGTCGCCCTCCTCCACTACCTGGGCACGCCCGCCCTCGCCCTGGACCCCCCTCACCCCCTCACCCCCTCACCCCCTCACCCCCTCACCCCCCTCACCCTCCCCTCCGCCAGGCCTGCCCGCGGACGCCGCCGACTCGTACGGCTCGACGCCGATGCACCTCGCCTCAGCGCAGGGGTCGCTCCAGGCGAGGAGGGTTTGGGGGGGGGGGGGGGGAGGAGGCTCGGCCGAGGTCCACTCAGCGCCGCGCCTCCGCCGCGCCAGGTGATCGAGTACATCATCGAGGCGACGCCCAACCCGACGCAGCTCGTCAAGCTTAAGGACAACAAGGGGCGCACGCCGATCGACGTGGCGCGCGAGCGCGGCTACCGGCACGTGCTGCAGGCGCGCGAAGAAGAAGAGGAGCTAGTCAGAGCTGGTGTCCTTGCCATGGCTGCCGGCGCACCGTGTGTCAGGCAGGAGGGTGCCGTGGGTCGGAGGAGCGAGTGGACCGACTCTCTTCCTCTCCCCCGGCACCGTGCTGCAGGCTCTCGCGCCGCTCAACCCTGCGCCACTCATGCGCTGCTTCTACACGATCATGGGACAGGCGCGCGGAGGGCGGGCGGGCGGGCCGAGCACGCGCCCTCTCTCCCACCCCCTCCCGCCCCCTCCCCCTCCCCTCTGCTTCCAGGGCGGCGCCTCGGACAAGGTGATGTTTTACTTCTTTTGGGTCAACAGCTTCGCCGCGGCGGTCACGTACTACCGCCTCGCGCAGGAGCGGCGGCAGCTCGTCCATGAAGTGACCACGCGAGCGAGTGGGCCTCACCGCACCCGCCTCCCGCCCCCCCGCAGGAGGTGGACGCGCCGATGCGCCACCTCGCCTTCGCCTCCTCCTTCCTCGGCATGTACTTGTTCATCTTCGCTACCTACATGACTGACCCGGGCGCCGCTCTCCCCCTGACGCGCATCGCGCCGCCCGTCTCTCCCCCCCTTTCACCCCTCACCCGACCACTCCCCGTCGCCTCCCGGCCCCCCCTCACCCTCCCCACCCGCGCGCACCGTGAGGCCGCCTCGGGACCGCCTCGGCCGACCTCGCCCCCAGCCCCGCCCTCCCGCCGCCGCAGGCAGCATCGACACGTCGGGCGACGCAAACGCCCAGTACCGGCGCACCCGAGCCCCGACGCCGACGGCCGGCACTGCACGCGCCTCCCGCCAGCCTCGTCTTCGCTCCCCGTAGGCGCGCCCTCGAGCTCGCGGCGGACGGCAGGATCGAGGAGGCGACCGCGATCGGCCCGCTCTGCCACACTTGCCACATCGCGCGCCCGCTGCGCTCCAAGCACTGCGGCGAGCTCAAGCGGTGCGTCTCCGCCTTCGACCACCACTGCCCGTACGTGCACAACACCATCGGCGCGCGCAACTACGCCCTCTTCATCGCATTCATGTTTTGCGGCCTGGTCGCCATCCCGCTCGACGCGGCGCTCTGCCTCGAGTACCTCCTGCGAGTCGGCCGCAACGGCTGGGTGCGGCTCCCCTCCCCTCCCTCCCTCCGCCAGAGCCCGCCTGCCGCGCCGCGAGGCTCACCCTCCCACTCGCGCGCCTCCCCTCCGCAAGGGGCTCGCACAGCTGTGCGACCATCTCCTCTTCTTTATTAAGGATTCATTAATTAATTAATTAGGTGCTCCTCCAGCTGTGCGACCATCTCCTCTTCTCGCTGTTTGCGGCGCGCGCCGCCGCCCCGCCCCACCGCGCCACCGCCCGCCGCCGCCCGTCCCGCCGCCGCCCGCCGCCGCGCGCCACCGCCCGCCACCGCCCGCTCCGCCGTCGTCGGCAGGTAGTGATGAACTCGTACCACTGGTGGCTGATTGCCTCGAACCTGACCACCAACGAGCACCTCAACAAGCACCGCTACGTCTACTTGCGCGACGAGATGGGACGATACCGCAACGCCTTCAGCAGCGGCGTTCTGAGCAACATTGGCGCGCCGCCGGGAGAGCAACACTGGAGAGCCCCGCCGCTGTGCTACCCACCGCGGCGCCGCCTGCGCAGGCGATTTTCTGACGCGGAGCCGCACGACGAGCACCGACCCGTTTGTGTATACGCAGAGGTATAACGCGCAGGCGATGAAGCAGCGCGAGATTGGGTACGGCGACTCGTCACGGTCTGGCGACGAGATGATGCCGGCCAAGGAAGGCAGCCAAGGTCTGCTCTCATCGGAGCAGCAGGTCTAGGGAGGGACTCTCGGCGGGGCGGCAGGCGCGCGCGGTCGGGTCGTGGCGACGCCCCGCACCCGCAGGCTGGCCCGTGCATCGCAGGGCCCCTCTGATGGCTCAGATAGGAGGCGAGCGATTGAGGGGGCGGATGGGTGAGAGCGTGTATCCGCGTCTTGGGACTTCAACCAGGCTGGGCGGGCGGCGGCGGGATAGCTGGGGGCCCATGCACTTCCCGACGTGAGGGGTCGTAGGGGGATAGACACTGTGGGGAGACGACTGTCGACTCTTTGCATGCGAGCGGCCCGGGTGACCGATATCCCCGCGCACAGCGCCTGAGAAAAGCCGCCCCAAAGCCCACATGCACGCTGTGCATCGCAGCTGCAACCTGCATCGCTCCGCCTCTCTGCAAGACACGTATATGCCAGCAAAACGCTCCTCCACAACTGTCATTTTTGTCAAGAACTTTAACTAATACCTCACACCAAGTGTGACAAGCTCTTGACTCTGTGGAGTGCTACCGAGCTGCTCTTTTTGCCGAAAAGGTGCTTGCGGTTGGCCTAGAGCTGGTTCGTGGTTGTTGATGACCGATGTGGCGACGGCTGCGCCCCCGCAGCGGGGGCGGCCCGGCACTTGAGGCAAACTGCGGCGCCTCACCTCCCTCTTATTCCTCCGCCTGTCCGATGGCCGCAAAGGTGAAGGGCGAGAACTTTTGGCCGTCACCGTAGTAGAACTTGTTCTGGAACTCGACCCACTGCAGCCGCAGCGCGTGCAGAAAGGAGGAGAGGTTCTCCATCGCCATGAGCACCACGAGTGAGATGA